CTACAATCTTCCCCAAGAAGGAAATATACTTCCAGCTGCTACACCAGACCTATCCTTGGAGAGGAGAAATCATAGCAAGTGAACCTTTTCTGGAGTATCTGAAATAATACCCTTGGGAATAGGGGAGGCAGAGAGGAGTGGAAACAGACAATAGTTCACTTACATTTACAATGGCCTCATCCTATAAAAGATGGCCAGAGTGCACAGCGAACATAACTATTTATTGTGCCTAAAGATGAAGGGAGTTATTTTGTGTGTTTTTGTCTGAATTATCATGCATGTTGGCACCATCAACATTCACCAATAATGCCTTATTTTCTACTTCGTTTTGCTTCTCTCATCAATATCTGAACCGTAAAACAAAGAAACATTTCCTTTCCAGTCTAGCTTTCCTTCCTTAGGAGCTGGCCAGATAAAGTTGAACGATAATGTTGTTTTATCAAAGGAAGCTTTAAGTAGGTGCAAGATACACAAGATCTCATTAGATGACTGCTCTCCAGTCAAAGGAAAGTAGCCCCCGTACTAATTAGCCTCGCTTCTCCCATGTTCCCATCTGATGTTTCTCACCACCCACTTAACTTTGTAGCCAATATATTACAACTATTTCTGACCATGTCCACCGCAATCCGCCAAAATATTGACTTGGCGGACTCCCAGTACTACAACGACCTTCTCATTGGTTTTACTGCTGCTTCTCTTGTCCTCACCCCTTGCCTTCCAAGCCCCCTACAATCCATTTCTACACAGCAGCCTGAGTAAGTTCTCAAAAATCTAAGTCAATCTTGTCATTGGCTTACTTACCGCCCTTCAGTGACTTTCTACTACATGTAGAGTACTCTTGACCCTTTAAGGAACCCTGGACTGTCTCACCCTTGCCTCAAGTGTTGCCTTAATGTCATCCCATCCCCTGGTATCGATCTCTTCCTCAAACACCTGCACCTCATTTCTGCCTTAGAACCTTTGGTGTTGCTGGTGCCTCTTCCAGGAACACTTTCCTTGGCCCTCATCATGCCTGGCTTCTTCTCATCCTGTAGTTCTTGGTCAGATACCACCTGCTCAGAAGGTCCTTCCCAACCCACCGCACTCAATCTCCCCATTGTTCTTTTATCAGACTACTTTATTGTCAAAGAAATGTGACACAATTTTGACTTGTCTGCTTTTGTCTGTATCTTCCCACTAGATGGGAAATTCAAAGGGCACAAAAACCTCTTTTTGGAGAGGTGTTTTGTTTTGTTTTGTTTTGTTTTGTTTTGTTTTTTGCTATAGGGCGCGTGCGCTCGCCAGCCAGACAGAGAGAGACATAGAGACAGAAAGCGAGAAATCACCCCCCAGGGGGGATGGTCACGCCACGATCCCTTCTCCTCCATTCTCCTCTCGGGATCTTGGGCACACACGCACATGCGCCCGGCGTGAATTTTAAGCCAACAGGTCTGGGACGTGAACCGCGGTCAACTATGTGGGAGTTCAGCGACATAGCCATTACGCTAACTGCTGGTTCCCTAAACCTCTTTTGTCTTATTAAATCTTATGTCCATAACAATACCTGAGAAAATGCCTGGTAGGCACTAAGAGACTGAACGAATGTGTTGAGACCCAAATCACATTATAAAGAATCAGCATTTTGTGTTCCAGCACTGTTTTATTTTGAACATAAGCAAATCTAATATTAGAGGAACAGTTCCCACTGTTATTCCCTGATTTTTCCCAGAACATGGCAATCTGCATAAGAATCATTTCCCAAAATAAGAAAATGTCTGTGGAAATCGAAGAAGGGAAAACAAACAAACAAAACAAAACAAACAAACAAACAAAAAATGGAACAAAACTCAGACACACTTGAAAACTCTGGGCTTCATTCTTTTTCATTATAAGTAAGACAAGGTTCATGAGAGTAAGCACCACTGCTTGATTCTTTAGAAGTTGGAAATTAGATCAAATGAATTGGAGGACAACTACATCTTATGTTAATGTTTTCCTCCTCGAAGGAAGAAAATGAGATGATGTGAGCCATGACTCCATTTGAAAATGAAACTTTGTATTTCTATTTGCTTCCACATTGAAGTGGAAGGTTTTTTCATTTTAGACTTTCATGTTGGCAAATGTTGCAACACTTTACATTCATTAGGCTCAGGCACATTTACTTCCAGCAAGCAAGACAAGCACAGATCCATTATCCCAATAAAGATCATTTATAAATTCCCTAGTAACTAAACGAGACTAAGCCTGAAACCCAAGTCTCACAACCCTTACCACTAATGTGCAAAAAAAAGGAGGGGGGGGTTGGTCAAAGTCCCCCACTCTTAAAAAGGTACAGTTTCTAAACACTGCATTAGGCTCTTGTGCCAATTAAACTGATCATTTAAGAATACAGTAGAGAGACAAGCAGTTGGCATAATGGCTATGTCACTGGACTCCCATGTAGTAGACCGTGGTTCAAGTCCTGGACCCGGTGGCTTAAACTCACGCCGAGTATGTGTGCATGCATGTGTGCCCAAGATCCCAGGAGGAGAACGGAGGAGAAGAGATTGTGGCATGGCCATTCTTGCTGGGGGTGGTGGTGATTTCCCACTTTCTGTCTCTCTATCTCTCTGTCTTTCTGGCGAGCGTACATGTCCTATAGCAAAAACCTCTCCAAAAAAAATTAATAATAATACACTGGATACCCAACTCAAACTCAGACAAAAATGCTTCAAGAATAACATTGAACTTACCAGATTTTGACAATCTTTTATAAACTATCATGCATAAGGAACTTGGTTTTGCCAGGGTCTTTTATTAATTTTGCATTAGCTAACTACAGAAGTTAACGGCAAAGCCAAAATAAAGTCACAACTCACAGTGGGATGACAGTGAGCAAGAGTCTTTACATTTGTAATTGCCCTTGGATCTATTTAACTTCGCTTTAAAGTCATGAGGCATAATTGAGACAAATGGTTGTACTGAGCAGGTATCAGACATGACAAGAAGCTGGCCGTGATTATTGGGATGTACTGTTTTTATTCAGAGACTTTTTGCTGCCAACACTTTTCCTATGATGGCTATTAAATTTTATAGGATTTTTCCCACCATTAGCTGTAAGGGCATTTACATGTTAAATGCTCACAACAAATGAAAACCATGATTCCATTGTTTCACAGGGTGAAAACCATGGTTCCTGCTAGTCCAAATAGGGAACAAATCTAAAAAGAATCAGGTAATTCCTCCTCCTTGTATGAAACCTCCATAAGCTCTGTGGGGAAGCCTATTTACTTTGCAACTCTACTATTTTTGAAACAAGATAGATTTTATACATGTAAGAAAACTGAAGATTCTGCTATAAGCCAAGCCGAAGACACCTCAAATGTCTTATGTGTTGGGAATCTCTTTTACAATGAAATACAATTCTCTCTCTCAAGGACATTTAACTAAGAAGCTCCCATTTTATGGGACTAAATGGTAATGCTTGATGAATACTTAAGGGTATTGTTTTTATGAAAATATATATACATATGCTGTTCCAGGACATGTGTCTAAAGCAACACCAAATTACAGAAGTAACGTGGAAAGCAAATATTTAGAGTTTCTTAACCGATTTTCTCCTCTGAGAAAATTTAACATTAGTTCTAAAACTCAGGAGACTTATTGTTCTGAATTATGTTTCTAAGTGAACAGTTTTCACAATAATCTACATCTAACAAAGCAAGATATGGAACTGTATGTATATTTATGGATCTTTCAAACTGTTAAATAGACAACTGCTTGATGATTCTAGATCTTTTTCATTTGGCTCCACTTGCTCATTCTTCTATCACCAATCATTTTTTTAGAATTATCTTATTTAACGTTACTTATTGATTTATTTTACTTTGACCAGAGAGGGACAGAATAAGACAGAGAAAGAAAAGCAAGCCACCAGATCCGGGACTTGAACTGGGGTTGGCCACGTGGGAGTCCAGTGCCCTTAACCACTACGCCACCTGCTGGTCCACCACCAATCATTTTAAAAACACTAGCTCCTTTACCGAAAACAGCATTTCAGTTTTATGACTCTCACATTCTAGCTACCAAATCCCTTCTAAAAACCTCAGTTGCTTTCACAATGCTTCAGAAATGAAAGATCCTCAATAGTTAAGAAACCAATATTCAAACCCCTGAATTTTCATTTTATTTTGGCCTCTTTCTGATAAATATTTTAACTCTTTCTAATGTTCCTCTTGAATATATTTAGTCAAAAAGTTCTGATGATAATGGGCCCAATTAAGAGTATGAATTAGTATGACATTATATACATTTTTTTATTAAAAGGACATCATTAGAAACTGTTCAAGTAAATATTTTATATTTGCTAAAAGTTATTTTGTCATCTTTGTCTTCTCTACTTTTTTCTTGTCCCCTCCTGTACTACCAAAAATTCAACTGGGGGAGAATAGTGTGGTGTTCAGTGAAGGTATCAGAAGAATAAATTCATTCATTCATTCATTCAACAGTTCTTTTGTTTGTTCACTTAATCACCTAATTTCATGGCAAAAAGCAACAGAAATGTATGATGTATCACTACTGCTTTGCTTTACCCACAGTTGCCTGAACTTTGGGAATGTAGACCACTGCCCATAGATCTGGCCTGGTTCAGGGCTGTACAGGGAAACAACACAGTACTGCTGGTAACCCTGGATAGCAAACCAAGTCGTACTTATTAATCAACTTTGATTTTGATAGGCACTAGTTTCCTTTCTCTGACTACACATAAATAGATGCATCCATCGAACTGAACTTTTCAACAATCTAAAATAAAAATGCAATGAACTGTGAATGTCGGTATACTACTGCCTGGATCACTTTGGACAAATCACTTAACTTCTCTGTGATTCCATTTCCACATCTTTGCAATCAAAGGTGATTTTTATAACTCTACTATTTTATTGTCCTCTAACCAGAAAAAAAAAAAAAATGGGTCAAAGACCTGAGCATGAGAATTCACTTTATTTCAGCATAAAAATTCAGTTTTTCACTGTTTGATCTTTCATAATGTCCTTTTGGGAATGTTATCTTCCAAAGTACTTCAGGAAGCTTGCCACAATTCAGTTTCAACAAGGTTAATGCATCCTATTATTCCATTTGTAAAAAGTTCTTTTCTTGCATCATATAAATACTCAGCCTGAAAAAAATCATTGCAACTACTATGTTACCTCCACAATTTTTGAAACAGAATACTGCATCTGTTGCTCTTATGATAGGAACTTTCCTACAATTCTGAGTTTATCTCAAATAATACTGTGAAAACACTGATAGTATTGGAAATAAAACAGCTTCACTGCTATTTTCATTTTATCTAATGAACACAGAAGAAAAGCTCAGATCCCAGGAAGAAAAGGTCATACACGAGAATCATAAGAGGGCTATTTGTTACACATTTTAAATAGATGCAGTTTGGTTAAGGATATAAGCAGAAGGTTAACTCTGTTTAAGACATTTAAGCATATTACAATCTTTCATACAATGAATGACTACCTGCCGTTGGATTCTTCATGGTGCTTCACACATTAACACGGGAAGTTACAAGTAGGTACAGATAATACAGAATGCATGCTTCCTAGCCAAACCATGACAAAGAAAGTTACTGGTGTTATATGACATTGACTGAATGGCTGCTAGGCCCACAAAAGATTGTGCTGGCAACCACACTGGTTCTAGGCATCAAATCCCCAGATACTGATTCATTTTGTTTAAGGCATCACACACGGTGTTCAAATCGCTGCGGAGGTCCTGCACCACGTTCTCAATACTTCTGGTGTCTTTCAGAATTTCGATACTCTGTGTGTAGGGGTTGAAGTACACTGAGAAGGGACGAGTAATGGACTTCGCAAAGTCCCTGCAGAATAAACAGAAACGTAAGGACAGGGGATCAGCCTCCACTGATATATGAGATAGACGAAAAGGGCAAAGTCACAAAAAATAGTCATTTTCTCTAGGTGTAAGAAAAAGTTTACCTCATCTTCTCTTTGGCTTCCTCAAAACTTTCTGAAACAAAATAGGCTTCCTGGAAGGTGGTGATAAGACATTCCTGTAAGCAGGTTGTCTTTGGGTCAAAAGCTTTCACACATGCCTTGTCAGAAAGAGCATGCTGCAAAAAATACCACAAAACCCGTTAAACTCCGTATTGAGGCCTCCAAAGTGCCATGACATCACAATCTCACAGCGCATTCAATAGCGAGGTCATCCCACGCAGCTGCTTAGCTACTCGTCTGCCATGATCCACGGAATTCTGTGTGCAGGTAAATCGAGTATTCGTGCTTTTTGTTTATTTTGGGGTTTTTTTAAGTCTATTAGGTGTTGAGGGGGGGAAATGAAATTCCAGTACTATTTTGTTTATTATCAGCCAAAATCCATACAGAAAAACGCCATGACATCACAATCTCACAGCGCATTCAATAGCGAGGTCATCCCACGCAGCTGCTTAGCTACTCGTCTGCCATGATCCACGGAATTCTGTGTGCAGGTAAATCGAGTATTCGTGCTTTTTGTTTATTTTGGGGTTTTTTTAAGTCTATTAGGTGTTGAGGGGGGGAAATGAAATTCCAGTACTATTTTGTTTATTATCAGCCAAAATCCATACAGAAAAACAGCTCAGAGCTGTATCCCAACAAAAAAAAAAGGAATTTGAAATCCATGCTATGAATAGAAGCAGAGATGCATAAATATTCTCCTCAATTTATGGCTATAAGCAATGTACTGAAATTTCACTTAAATGGCAGAAGTAATAATTACCTGCGTGGAGAGGTAATTTGGGCTCTGAACTGTTTGTAGACTCATTGCGAGACGTTTTGAGGCCAGTTACTGTGCATCAACAGAGTCTGGAGAGGGCCTGTATATTTGAGGGTACTTGCAAAGCATTCATTTACCTTCCACCAAGTACAGCAGAGCAATACACAGCAAACAAATATTGCCGCTTGTGGGGGGAAAAAACTAATATTAATAGTTACAGTTCTGCCCAGAGCAGGCATTAGAGAAACGGGAAAGCCAGTGTAATTACTCTGAACTATCATTAGCTCTGATCGGCTCACTACATGACGGGCACTAAGCACAGCAGGGGACAGTGAATGACTGTGTTCTCGAGACAAATTCAGTGATGTTAAAAGTCAGTGGTCATTTCCTGCCATGTGCTACCTGCCTATTTATAGACCCTGGATTGATGGTTCTGAGACATCATGTGCGTAAGAATTACCAAGGATCTTGTGAAAATACAAATACTCATACCTCCACTTTCCTTGGAAGGTCTGGATGAAATCCAGAAGCCTGCATTTTCAAGGCAACCAAGGCGACATGAGCCTCAGTGGTTGTGCACTGTATTTTGAGAAAGACTCCTCTCGATTCTTTTTCTTAATTTAAGGGATAAATTAGTTGGGAGCAAGGAGCAGAGACAAAAAAAGGAGCAGGAGAAACTGCCTGGAACTGAGAGCTTAAAAAAATGCAGCTAGATTTAGGGGTGGCTGCTGGCTTACTGGGTAACCTTGGCAGTTCATTTAACCCTCTGGCGCCTCTATTTCCTCACCTCTAAATGAGAGATTCGGGATGGATGATTCTGACTGAAGATGCTCTATTCTAGTCTCTGGAGCCCACCCAAAAGATTTTCCTACCTTCTCAATTTCTAATTGCTCAGGCTTCCTAGAGAAATACTGAAAAACCCTTCCTCGTTCCATGTTCTTCATACATTCCCGCAACCGTTTGCAAATGCACAGAATGATGTATGCCCCTGGAAGAAGACTGTGATTCCCTGAGTCTGAACACGCAGTTGACAACCAGAGATAGACACGTAAGAGCAAGGGCACACAGCCCTGCCCTGTGTGCGATTTCCTTTCTTGCCGAGCTCCCTGTCCAGATCAATGCAGATATGAATCACAGAATGCAAAGGGCCTCTCAGACTGAACTCATTTTTTTGGCCCATAGAACAACTTCATTATATGCAGAAGGTCACTGCGCCTGAAATGCATTTGCGTTGGATGCCGTGCGGTGCAGTGAACATCAGGGTATTTGGACTCCACAGGACCAATAATTCTATTTATATTTTAAAGACGACTTCACAGTTCCAAGGAACGAAATATCTTTTTCTAAGAGCTGTTGGCTCCTCTGCAAAGAATTGGCGTCTGATTGACTTGCTGTGGTTTGGGGACTTTGTAGTTGCTTTCATTGCAGCCATGCACTCTGGTTACATTTGATTGTAGTTTATTGCTCTGATTGTCCACTCGTCCATCACCCCATACAGACAGAAGGACAGTGGCTGACTCACTGTTCTTGAACTTTCTATTCTCCCATCACCAAATTGAGGGGCCAGACCAGAGTGGTGTAGAACAGGCTATAAGAACATTGTAGCCATCGCTTCCCTGGGAGGACCCTGCTGATCCAAAGACTTTCCAACTTGGTTCAAGAATGAGCTCAAGAAGGGAATGGAACTAACCCACCTGGGCCTCTAGTGCTTCTACAGCAGTTGCTATATAAAGAGGATGCTTCCAGAATGTGTGTATACAATTACAAAGACTGAAAATAGTGTGGTTTTAGAAAAATTCAACATATGACAATTCCACTGGATGTTTGGATGATTCCATCTAGTCATTTTAACAGGCGAGGAATAGAGTAGATCAAGAAAAGGCACACAGGGCAGCAGGCACCGCCCAGATTTCAAGAAGAATTTACAGATTCACAGCATGGAGTTTGAGGCAAAGACCATTAGGCACTACACAGATCATACTTCGGTAGAGTAATTTTTAAAGAAAAATACTGAAAGCGAGTTTTTTTTTTTTTCTTTTTTTCTTTTGGAGAGGCTTTTGCTATATGGCACGTGCGCTTGCCACAGACAGAGACAGAGGGACAGAAAGCGAGAGATCACCACCCAGGGGGGATAGCCACACTGCAATCCCTTCTCCTCCATTCTCTCAGGATCTTGGGCACACATGCACACGCGCCTGGTGTGAGTTTTAAGCCACCGGGTCCAGGACGTGAACCGCGGTCGACTACGAGGGAGTCCAGCGACATAGCCATTATGCTAACTGCTGGTCTCAAAATACTGAAAGCTAGTTGTTTTAAGCTCTCAAAAATGCCTATCAGAAGGCTACTGTCAATGATATTCTGGTTACCTTACCAGCAACTTCTCCACACATGGAGTTTGGAACTAGGGATGCTCCTTGACTGGTTGGTAATATGGGAATACTGGTACCCTGGATTAACCCAGAGAATGACAAGAGCTCAGAGTTGTGGGATGAGCCAATGAATGAGGCCAACAAAAGGGGTGGTGATTATACCCAGCTCATTTACCCTACGATGAGCACCCCTGCATGAGGACCGCCAGGGATATCCATGCAATTCATGAAGTCTCTTATCTCTGAGTAGTATAGGAGACCCCCCGGGGTATAAATAGCAGCCATGTGTCCCCAGATCCCAAAGTTCACTGCCCAGTGGAAAAGCCCTCCTAAGCGTGCTTCGCAGCTCCTACCCATGTCTCTCTTTAAGCTGCTTTAGTTTGCACCTTCTCCTCTATGGTGAAGTGGATTCTCTGTAAACATTGAGCCAAATTTCTTGATGTCCCCAGGGAACGCTGTGGTGAATCCTTCCTGAAGTGTTAAGAGCCTGATACCCTGAAGTTTGCAAGAATTAATCCAATTTCTTACAGAGAGGAGCTTTACAATGCTGACAGAGTCTGGCTGACAGTCTTTTGCTCTCTAGTCATTTTTAAAGTGCAGGACTGTTTGAGAGTCACCTTCTCTCATGGGAACGCTCCCTAAATGCCCTCTTTCAAACTTTCCCACAGTGCTAAAGACAGGGGCACAGGCCTGGAAACCAGGAGATCTGGGTTCTATGTGTCCTGTCCCAGCAGCTACATTTATGTTACCAAATGAGTGTGACTTCCCCAGGTTGGGCTGCCACTTTACTGTTGGATAAGCTGAAGGG